TATATATATATATATATATATATAATGTCACTGTTAAGATAAACTTCATTGTAAACACTTATTAGTGAAAAGAAAAACAAAATCACAAGTTTCTCACTTTCTTTGTCATCGTCTCTTGTTCCAACACCACTACAAATTAACATTCACCGAGGCCAACCTACTTTGTTTTTCCCCCCGTCCTTGTTTGAGCTAATGCATTGAATCTATTTCTTGAAGGTAGGGGTAGGGGGGCTTTGGGGTTGTTGAGCAAGAGGGAGTGAGGGCCGGGCTCCAAGGTTGCTGCGTGGTGAAGGAGATCCAGGGTTGATTCAGGCTATGCTGTGATTCATTACCAATGGCCATGTTAAAAGTTTGAAAACCCAAAACTAAAGGTCACCCAAACTAATAACTTTTCAAGTCAATATTTTAATAATTTGTATATTAAGTTTTGGAATGTATTTTCAATGTTATAAAAGATTGTTGAATAAAACTATCTTAATATTATATATATCAACCAAATTGTAAATATAAATTATATTTTAACAATAGTAAATTAATAAGAGATGAATGATTTTCCCATTATAAGAAAAAGGTAAGATTAAGCTATTTTGCAATGGTAATTAATTAGTTATTGAGTAAAAAAGTACAATTTATTATTATTATTACTATTATTACTACTAACGTAAAAGAAGTACTTTGTGCTTGATTATATTTTAAAAAAATAAAACATAATTAAAAGATAGAAATAATAGAATAAGTGATTATTTAAAAAGGGGGAAAAGTTTAGATAAGAAACTTATGCAATTGAGTAGATCATTAGAGTTGGTTTTGGTATGGAGAATGTCTAGGATTAGTCTAGCTACTCAATCAAAGTTAGAGCATTTAAAAGTGTAATTTGTTCCCTCTTTTCCTAGTATTAGGGTTTTTATACTTGATTATAATAGGGATCATGGATTCCCAAATTCTTAGAATTTGATAAGGTAATTACTTATTTGTGAGACTTTTAGACAATAAAGATAAGGTTTTGTTCCATATATAAATCTTAGTTAGATTTTTTTCCAACTCTACTTAGAGGTCAGGTTGCTCAACATATGAGATATATGTCTACTTGGGTGATCAACCATCCTATGTTGGTATTTACTTGTTAATTTGTCTCAACGTCCAAGGTACTCGACCATATCTTGTCGATCGTCACCCACTTAGCATGACCATCTCGAATTATATCCAAGATAGTACATGCTTATCCACCAGTCCTAAGTCCATATGGCGAAGGGGCTAGATGAGAGCACCACACATCAACTCTTAAAAATGTTGGATAATCTTAAATTTCTAGAGATATCCGAGATATTTATAGTGATTATAAGGTGCACACATTTGAATGGCAGAGGTATAATACTCTGAACTCATGTTCCAAGTTGTAAGCTTATCAATCAACTCCAAATGGGAGGAATACATTTGCACGTTTGTTTTAAAAGTTAAAACTTGTTTTGGATGTCAATGGGTGATAAATTTGATCGGTCATGTGCATGATATATTCTTGTTTTCCATTTATACAAGTCAAGTACTTTATTGGGACAATATATGTTTGTAATGACTTCTGTTTATATATTAAAACTTGAAGTTATTTTTGGCCTTTGCAGAGATTATGATGGGAAAGTAACTCCTGAGGAGGTAGCCTCTGCTGCAATGTACTTAAAGGATACATTGGGCAAGGAGGGTATACAAGAACTCATTAGCAATCTTTCCAAAGATAGAGGTCTGTCATTTCTCTCTCACACAAATTTAATATTTTCTTTAATCTTATCATTCTGGATTTTGTTTGCTCTGTTGTGCATTTAAAAATAGTTTTGTTCTTCTGTAATAAATTGCAGTGAAATTTTCATGGAATTTCACCTGTATAGCAATATAATATAAGTGAACAGTATCTCAGACAGATCAACCAAAATTATTCCTCTATGAAGTTTAGCGGGATGGTTAGAACATTGAAGTATAATTTTTAGTGGGTTATCAAAATTACTTTTAAAATGACTGCTTTTGGGAGGTTTCTTATTCTAAATCAGTATTTTACCACTTCATTCAAATCTCGTGTTACCTTTTTTTTTTCTTTCTCCAGTATGTGCCTTTACAAGTTGGTATCCATCAGTCATAAGTTTGAACAATTTCTAGGACTGTTGAAATTTCCATATCCTATATACTTTAAGGAACGTAAACAACAAAAAAATCCATTTACTGGTAGCAAATTATATATGTTTTCCCTCCATTTCTTTTGGGGTTGCAAAGTTGGACCGAGAAATAAACCATTTTTGGTGTAAAAATTGTTTTGATATGATGGGACACTGAAGCCTGACAATTCTCATTGCTCCCTCCCCTTCGGCGTGGGATGTGAGGGAGGGGAGAATCTTAGTCGAATACTCTGGAAACTTGCAATGTTTCTGAGTAATATATTCCGGGACTAAATTTATCAAACTTACCTATTATTTATGAAGATTAGTTCATGAATACTACTGATATCATGTTTTATTGCTACAGATGGGAAAATATTTGTTGAGGACATTGTTAGGTTGGGCAGTTGGAGGGAAGATAGTAATTCACCTGAAGATGGGAGCGGGGAGAGGGTATGATCCGTCATTTGACTTCCAGATACATTCGAATTCCAGTTATTGATTTTGTATTCAACTAATAAGTAGTAGTTCAATTGTAGCAGTCAGATGAAAATCAAGTGTGTGCAAGCTCTGTAAATTTATGACAGCTGAGCACACAAATATACTTTATATTTACACATGATACGCCTTGTTGGCTATTGGGATGCATCATTGCTGTACTAAAATTTAAATTAATTCCGTGAAATATAAGTGAATACAAAATATTATTTTGATAACTTGTTAAAGAAATAATTAAAGAATTGCATTTAATATAACAATCTTCACACGTGCTTTTCTCAATGTCCTTGTTGGTCTCTCCTTTTATAGGATTAAAAATTATGTTAACTATCTTCACACGTGCTTTGTTACTTTATATTTTTTTTTGACAATCTTTTTTAAATTGGTTCCGTCTTTTTTTCATCTATTATATCAATATTATATATATATATATATATATATATGGTGAGATATTCATTTATTTTAAAATAAAGTTCATCTAGATTTATTCTGTTTAATAATTTATATTTTATATTAAGTTTTAATAATCTAATTATTAAATTAAAAGGTTATTGGTGGAATTCTCGGTATATTCTGTCAATAATTTGATGTCATAGTATGTTCTCTTTCGTAATTGAGTTCTTACTAAAGGAGAGCGATGGATAGATTGAGGAACATAATGTAATTACTGTTTGAAGCAAGTTATTGTAATTATGTGAGAGGGGACCTTTCTGGGGCTAGAACCTGAAATTAATTAAGATAATATGTTTATCTTTCTTCTACATCATTTATTTACATAACTGCTAAGTGAGGCTGTTTTAAATTTCCATCAAGGTTTTTAATGATTGATAAATTTCACTAGTGGCACTATTTTGTTGTGCTTTATAAACTACGCAGGATTTGTGTTGTATTACAATTTAAGTTCGCAAGTACAAGAGAAAGACGTGAATATATTTTCATTTTATAGTGATTATAAGGTGCACGCATTTGAATGGCAGAGGTATAATACTCTGAACTCATGTTCCAAGTTGTAAGCTTATCAATCAACTCCAAATGAGAGGAATACATTTGCACGTTTGTTTTAAAAGATAAAACTTGTTTTGTGTTATGACATGTTAAGGTAAAGTTCGATTATTCATCAAAGTCATCGTATCACATCCTCTCAACATGACCATTTTGGATATAATCTGAGATGATATAGAAGTAATTATACAGTTCAAGAATCATGTACATAAAAACAAAGATTTTGAATTTCTTTTATATATAGGTATACACTATATACTAGTTAAAAAGAACTTTGTACTTTAATTTTTAATAAAAATAAAAGATGATTAAGAAACGTGAATAATTGTTAATGAGATTTAGAGAGAGTAAATTTCAGTGTAATTTAATTTGTTCTTAAACAAAATTCTGCTATATATATATATACATATGTATGCTTTCATTTCTTTAAAAAAAAATTATGCTAGTTGTTTTATATATAAAACCTGAAGCTTACTGAGGAGCCTTGAAGCTCCATTATACCAAACAATATCAATTAGTCCAACAATACCATATTATTTCCTCATAATTAAAGTGTTTGAAGAGAGTGATAATCCCTCAAACTCTTTATATTATAGGCATCACTCAATTGGTATTATGAAACATGGGTTCTAGTGCTGAAACATGAAAGCAGAGGGCACATACACCTTCTTCAGTTATTTATATTTATAGTTGATACACAACCGTGTTAATTACTTCAACGTAGTAGCACGGACACATAGCATGTTGTACTCTTGTTTCCTATATATTACACTACACCAGAAAGGGAGTGAGAGTGACAAGAAGAGTAGTTGACGACCTAGTACTTGGGAACACTAATAACAAGCGCACCATTGTCCATGTAAGCCTTCACACGATTAACGTTGGCGTTTTCAGGCAAAATGAAACTCTGAATGAACCTTCCTCTCACACGCTCCACGAGGTTCCCCCTCCCATTCTTCGTTTCTCTCTCCACCAACTTCTCCCCAATGATGCAAAGCTCTCTCCCATTTTCCACTTCCACCCTCACTTCATCATGCCTCAGCCCCGGAACGTGTGCCTTGTACACGTGCGCCACAGGGGTCTCCTTCCATTCCACGTAGGCATTGACAACAATCGGTGATGTCCCTCCAGAGATAGGTAAGTGTATTATCTTCGGGTTGGGTCCAAAACCATTGGTTTGCAATGGTTTTCCAATGAAGTGATTGCAAGGGGGTTCGTAACGAGGACTGAATAAGGTGCTTTGATGGAATGGCATGTTTGTTTGTTGGGTGTTGTGAGGCTTAATTGTGTGTGTTGGTCTTGCTTTAGCTTATGGGACTGAAGCACTTCTTTTATAGGCTGTTAAAGGGGTACTACGGTTGATGATGTATGTTTGAAGGAATTTTATGACATAATAACAATGTTGGTGTGTCATATCATAGTGTTTTTTTTTCTTCTGTCACGAACTTTTCTCGTCTACTAGACGAAAGATCAATCTCGGCCAAATGATATATAATCATGTACACATTCTCTTCCTAGTCTTAATTTTTTTCCAAAATAAATTTTATTCAAAAAATTATCTTTATCATTCACCTCACTTTCTCAATATCATATTATTTTCAACCACTTTTCATTGATTATTCTTTCTTATTTTTCTCTTTCCGTTTATCTCTTCAAGAAGGATAGTATAATTAATTGGTTAATCTCTTCTGTCCTACTAGTTAAAATTTAGGATTGAATATGATTTTTCTTATATTTTATATATTTTTGTACAAATTTACACTAATTAAGGATGTAATAGAAAATTCATAATTGTATTAAAAATTCTCAAAAAAAAAAAAAAAATTGATGGTTGACTTTGACTTTATATGAGGTTATGTCTTGTCTTAATATAAACTTTTGGAAACATAATAAAAGACATTTACACATCATTTTTATTATTCTTTAAATCCTATTTTTGCACCTTGAACTTCATGGTTCTTTATACCTAATTTTTCACTCCTTCTTTGTTATTCCCTTTGAAGATATTTTTGTTGATTTTCCAAAATAAGAACACCCATTGATTTTTCAAGGTAGATTCATATTATGCTTGTTGAAACATACTTTTGAAAAGTAATTTTTAAAATAATATATGTATTATTCTGTAAGGTACTTCCCAAAAGTAAATTTTAAAACATATTTTTTGAAATTGTTTTTTTTAGGACATTATATATTCTTTTGATAAAAGGTGTCGCAAATACAAAACATTTTATTTGCTTGCACTTTAGATGGGTAGGGTAGGTGAGAATGTAAAATAAAAATGTTGAAGGGTGTAATGTTATTATATTGACAAAGATGAAGATGATTATTGGGAAGAAAGGAATTATGGGTGTTGGTAGATGAAGGGAATGAACCATGTGGAAAGAGATCCGTGAAGTAAAACTAAAAATAAAATATAAGGGTATTTATGGAGGAAAAATAAAATTTAAAAATAATAAAAAGAGAGGTATATTAATAAGTATTAGAGGTATATATATATTAAAAATCTTAAGTTTGCTTGCAATTAACTTTGATGGTCATAGATTCAAATAATTTTCACACAACGATTATTGAACATGAAATTCTGTATCAAATTAATTATCCTTAAAACATATATTTAGAATATGTTTAATCATTACATCAATCCATTGTAATATTCTCTCTAAATTTATATATAAGCAAAATAACCTAAGTTCATACAAGGAAGTTAGTTAAATATATTTTATTTTATGATTTCATATATAATATACACTACATTTCTTAAAATATTCTTAATCATATATATTATAGATAGAATTCACACTTGTCATCTTAAATATATTTTTAGATTAAAATTATTAAATAAGATTAATTTTATTTTAAAAAATTATATTTCAATCTAAAAATTTAAACTAGTTTATTTATTTATTTATATATAGTTCGAGTATATCATAGTGAGTCTTGTCCTTGACAAGGAAGGAATCCACTTTATGCTAATAAAATTGAGTGGCATATATGGTAGCACTAGGAGGTTCCTTATTCGTTTTCAAATATGCGTTTGATCTTCCACGGTATCACGTCTTTCTCTTGTATGATGGAAGTGTATAGTTATGAAGAACGCCTTTTGTCTGTTATATATATGTTTTGTCGTTACTTTTATTCACACTTTTCATATAATCAACACTTTTTTTACAAATTATTTTTCCTTTTCATTCTTCTATGTCACACTGCCTACCTATTTTATTCTTCACGTTTTTATTCCTTACTCTGTAATTTTCACTCTTCTAATAAAAATAGAAAAAAAAAAGTTACAAGAATAACATCTCATATTTATTACTTTAATTATCCCTAGAGGAACGGGGTACATTGTGTAACGTAGTAAGTTATTTCAAAAGTCCCAAAAGCTCAATATGGGTGATTTAGTAGTCCAGAACAGGCCATTCCCAAACTAGAACGGGTCGTTCTAAACTACTAAATTGACTTGTAAATCGTAGTTGAGAACGGGCCGTTCTGGATGGAGTACGGGCCGTTCTGGAGGGAGTACGGGCCGTTCTGGATGGAGAACGAGCCGTTCTGCATGTGATTTTTACAAATGATGAAGGGGTACAGAACAGGCCGTTCCAGATTCGAAACAGGCCGTTCTGGCCACTCCAGAACTTCTATAAATAGGGGTTGTGTGGTTGATGAGAAAGTGAAGTTTTTAGAGAGGACTCTGGGTCTGTGAACTCTTTTCTCTCCTAAATTTCTTTGTATGATTCTTTTTCTCCTCTAGATCACTAATGTCTTCTGTCTGTTCTTGAAATTTAGATTAGAAAGCTTGCTTTGGGAGGATTGAAGTTCCGGGTTGAGCTTCGGAAGGGAATTCTACTTCTTCTCAGTTATTGGCTATTTTGAGCCAATCTTCAGGTGAGGGAAGCTAGAATGTTTGTTGTTTAGGTTGCATGTGAGTTTAGAAACTCAATTGATGCATGAATGTTGAGAATCCATAGATGGTTTGAAGAAAATCTCATTTTTGGGGTTTTGAGAAAAAAGAGGATTTTGATGATTTTGATGCATATGTTGGATGCATGTGAGATTTAAGTTTATTTTGAGTTGTATAGAGCCTATGCATTGTATTTTGTGTTTGCATGTGGCTGAATTTGTTGGTTTGGATGAGAGTTTTGAAACTCTCTGACTGGGACTAGGTCGGGCGCAAGTTGAGCGCGCCGGGCGTGGAAGAGCTTAGAGCTCTTGAGTTGGTGTTAGGCTAGGCGTGAGCTGACTGTGCTGAGCATGAATATGTTTATAAATAATTGATTTAAATTGATGTTTATGCATGTTTAAAGTTGAAGTTTTAGATCATGTATGTATGATATATGATGTATGGTGAGGGGTGATTCATATGTATGCTTTGTGATGATACGTATGAATGTTTAAATATGATATGACATGTGTATATGTTCATATGAGTATGTTTATTGATCATGATGGTGGGTAGACCATGTATGATGTATGATGCATTATTACATGTGATGTCTTATGACATGTGTATGATTGTTGATCATGATGGTGGGCAGACCATGTATGATGTGTGATGCATAATTGCATGTGATGCCTTATGGCATGAGTCTAGCCTAGGACTTGAGGAGAGGAAAAATATTTTCGAACTGGAAGAGCTCACATAGAGTCTCTTGAGAGTGGTGCTTGGATAGGCCACTGATATATGAGAGTGGTGCTCAGGTAGGCCACTGGATTTGGGAGAGTGGTGCTCAGGTAGGCCACTGGGTTGGGTGAGTCTCCTCTAAGTCCTTAGCTAGTGTTGGAGTGGGGTATGAGGTCGAGGGTTATTCCCTTAACCAAGTACTCGGGAAGGTGCGTGGATCCTTGCGGATAGTCGGTGGGCGAACTCCACAATTGACTTGGTTATGCATGCCAAGGTCGTGGTAAGCCCGTACCCAGCTGTGTTATACCTGACGGTGGATCTGGACTTCCAATTGTGTAAGTGACATCATCCGAGTAAACCCGAGTGAGGATTATATCCTGTTTAGCTGTGACCGAGCGGGCGCATTGGGCATGAAAACGGTTGGGGTGGTTTCAGTAGGATGAAATGTCACTTATATAGCTCTATTGTTAGGGAGATATCCTAGGTGTATGTGTGACGACGCATTAGATGATTGATATGCATTGATATCTGTCATGAGTTGCATGTATTGCATGATTGTCATGATAATGAAGTGTATGGTGTTTGATTTCATGTTTGATGAATGTATGATTGATTGAGATGGAAGGTTCCTTTGGGACTTGATTTGGATGCATGTGTAGTATAGATTTTATTCTGCACTTGTATGATTGATTTTTGAACTCTAGCTTACCCTTCTGTTTCCATGTGGTGGGACTGCGATGATCATACTTGGTATGGGAGCAGGTCAGGGATAGCTTGGAGTTGAGGTGACCGCTGCGAGACGAGGATTTTATTCTAGTGTCAGAGTTACCGTCTGGGGTAACTGTAGGTTGTGCTTGACCGGCACTAGGAGTTATTATTTTGGATGACTGTACATATGTAGTGTTATATTTTATATTTAGGAACATAGTTGTTACTTTTATATATATATATATACCTGCATGTATGTGTTATCCAGCTTAATATTCTCTTAATTAACTAGTAGTAGTGCGATTCCACTAACTGTAGGAACCATGGTGAGTCGTTACACATTGGACGAAGTTCATATCAGAATATGTCGTTGCTATTTGATAAAAACACTGTTTTTGATATAGAAGAATAAATCCCTTAGGATTACCTTCCAAATATCGAAATAATGCATCACAAATCAACCCTATATATTTGTTTTAGAAGATAAAAATTATTTTTTAATAGAAAAAGAAGTGAATATATCCAAATTATAAGGTATTGAGCAAATAATTATCGTTTTTTATGTGTGTGTATCGTTTTTTTATCGTTTTTTATGGCATTTATTGTGTGTGTGTTTAAGTTTATCTAAACTTACTTCGTTTAATAACTTATATTCTACATCAAATTTCAATAATCTAATTGTTGAAATTAAAATTCTTAATGCATAAATTAAGTCTATAAATTTTTAAAAAATTTAAAAATTATTTGATACTTTATTTCATTAATTCAAATTGATAAATAATTATAAAATCATTTTATACATTAATTCACTAGTGCAAAAAAGGGTATTTACGTCACCCAATTTACGTCGGAAACCACAAACACCGACGTTGTAAAAACGCGGTGGCAGTTTCGTAAATAAGTGGAGACTAATTTACGTCGGACGTCTCGTAGACCGACGTAAATTAGGTAATTTACGTCGGGTACCTCTATTCCGACGTAAATTTACGTCGATCCCACCCACGTCCGACGTAAATTTACGTCGGAGTCCACCAAGGCCGA